GTGTATGATGTGCACAGCTCTCTCTCTCTCTCTCTGTGTGTGTGTGTGTGTGTGTGTGTGTGTGTGTTGATGAGAGCTGCAGGATGCGGCAGTAAACTGAGGAACTGTAGTGAACACTGAACCCTTACTGTAAACTCCACCACCACTGTGATTACAGAAAGCTGAAGCCTGCTGGAGAACTGGACTGCTGGAGAACTGGACTGCTGGAGAACTGGACTGCTGGAGAACTGGACTGCTGTTACTCCAGTTGTGTTGACCCACATCATCATCATCATCATCATCATCATTTCTACAGTTTACTCCACTGGTCCTCTCCGCTGTGTCCTGCTCAGCTTCACTTCCTGCCCTCCATCTCACACGTCCCCACAACCACACCAAAACAACCTAGACTCACACACACATTCTCTCTGTGTAGTTTACCATGATGTGTGTGTGTGTGTGAGTGTGTGTGTGCAGTGCTGCTCTTCAACACTCTGCAGTTCATTAGCCCAGGGGTGTCCAACTGGGTCAGGTTCAGCTCCAGCTTTCCTCAACACACCTGCACAGATGTTTCCAGAAGGCCAGTGAGAGCTCAGGTGTGTGTGTGTGTGTGTGTGTGTGTGTGTGTGTCAGACTCTGCAGGACAGCGGCCCTCTACAGCTTACACCCCTGATTTAGAGGATCACACAAACTTTGTCCCCCTCACCGGAAACAGCTGATTAAGAATGAAAACCTTTTACACACACACACACACACACACACACACACACACACACACACACACACACACACACACACACACTGCAGTTCTTCTTCTGTGGTGTCTGAAACCCTGAAGCTGGACACAGACAAAGACAAACTTCTCTTCACACACACACACACACTCGGCGGGAAACGCGCTCACATTGTCGTCTCCAGACAGGTCGGGGTTGCTGTTCTCGTCGCTGCTCAGTTTCTGCTTTTTGTTCGGCATCTCGTTTCCCGCCTCGCCGTGAGGTTCAGACATCTTCCTCCTCATCTTCATCCAGCGGTGCCACACTGTCGGAAAGCAGAACATCCGCGCCACACTGTCGCAAAACAGCACGACAGCTGCAGTAAAGCGGATCGGCAGCAGAGGGAGACACGCGGCGGTGTCCAAAAGCGCTCACTAGGTCCCTAATCCCTATAGTGCGGACTGCACGATAGACAGCAGTTTCAGAATGATGTGTAGTCAGATGGGTTTGACGTGATGACCTATAGAGGGCAGACTAATGATCCTGTCTGAGGCAGTGGCGGTTCTAGTTCAAATGGCCGCCTGGGCGGAACCAGCCCTGACTACATCATTATTAATAATCAATAAACAACCTGCTCATCTTCATCATCATCATCATCATCACTGCATTATTATACAGTAATTAATTATTCCACTGCAGCGACTCTGAGCTGAAGGAGAATGAGGGAATGAAACAGGCCGAATTATTTGATCTGTTCATCCTGATGCTTCACACACACACACACACACACACACACACACACACACAACACACACACACACACACACACACACACAGAGCAATGCTGGGAACCCGACTCGGACGGGAAGTGGAGGGCCTGCAGGAGGAAGTGGGAGTTTCCAGAGTAAAAGCAGAGAAACTGAATATTAATAAGAGAAATTCCCTGACCGACAATAACTGCAGTAAAGTGAAGCACAGCAGCAGAACATAGAGAATATCTGCAGTTTAATACAGTACAGGTGCAACACACTGCAGTAACACAGTTCAGCTACAGCACAGCAGAGCTCAACAGCAGTGTGAGTTGCAGTGAACACAGGTAAACACAGATAAACACAGGTAAACACAGGTAAACACAGGTAAACATAGATAAACACAGGTAAACACAGGCAAACATAGATAAACACAGGTAAACAAAGGTAAACATAGATAAACACAGGTAAACACAGATAAACAAAGGTAAACACAGATAAACACAGGTAAACACAGGTAAACACAGATAAACACAGGTAAGCACAAATAAACACAGGTAAACACAGATAAACACAGGTAAACACAGATAAACACAGGTAAACACAGGTAAACACAGATAAACACAGGTAAGCACAAATAAACACAGGTAAACACAGATAAACACAGATAAACACAGGTAAACGCAGATAAACACAGGTAAACACAGATAAACACAGGTAAACGCAGGTAAACGCAGATAAACACAGGTAAACACAGATAAACACAGGTAAACACAGATAAACACAGGTAAACACAGATAAACACAGGTAAACACAGGTAAACACAGATAAACACAGATAAACACAGGTAAACACAGGTAAACACAGATAAACACAGGTAAACGCAGATAAACACAGGTAAACACAGATAAACACAGGTAAACACAGATAAACACAGGTAAACACAGGTAAACACAGATAAACACAGGTAAGCACAAATAAACACAGGTAAACACAGATAAACACAGATAAACACAGGTAAACGCAGATAAACACAGGTAAACACAGATAAACACAGGTAAACGCAGGTAAACGCAGATAAACACAGGTAAACACAGATAAACACAGGTAAACACAGATAAACACAGGTAAACACAGATAAACACAGGTAAACACAGGTAAACACAGATAAACACAGATAAACACAGGTAAACACAGGTAAACACAGATAAACACAGGTAAACGCAGATAAACACAGGTAAACACAGGTAAACACAGGTAAACACAGATAAACACAGGTAAACGCAGATAAACACAGGTAAACACAGATAAACACAGATAAACACAGGTAAACACAGATAAACACAGGTAAACACAGGTAAACACAGATAAACACAGGTAAACACAGATAAACACAGGTAAACGCAGATAAACACAGGTAAACGCAGATAAACACAGGTAAACGCAGATAAACACAGGTAAACGCAGATAAACACAGGTAAACGCAGATAAACACAGGTAAACACAGATAAACACAGGTAAACGCAGATAAACACAGGTAAACACAGGTAAACACAGATAAACCCAGATAAACACAGGTAAACACAGATAAACACAGGTAAACGCAGATAAACACAGGTAAACACAGATAAACACAGGTAAACACAGGTAAACACAGATAAACACAGGTAAACACAGATAAACAGGTAAACACAGGTAAACTGAGGTAAACACAGGTAAACTGAGGTAAACACAGGTAAACTGAGGTAAACACAGGTATCTATCGCTGTGTTGTAGAGGTATTTCTGTAGTTACGCTGCTGAACAGCACTTGGCAGTCTGAGGTAGAGCTTCAGCAACCCAACTGAAGAGCTGACACCTCGTGTGGAAACCCTCGTCACCGAGCAGGAGCAGGAGCAGGAGCAGAAGCAAGAGCAGGATCAGGATCAGGAGCAGGATCAGGAGCAAGAGCAGGAGCAAGAGCAGGAGCAGGATCAGGAGCAGGATCAGGATCAGGAGCAGGAGCAGGAGCAGGAGCAGGAGCAGGAGCAGGAGCAGAATCAGGATCAGGAGCAGGAGCAGGAGCAGGAGCAGGAGCAGAAGCAGGATCAGGAGCAGGAGCAGGAGCAGGAGCAGGAGCAGAAGCAGGAGCAGAAGCAGGAGCAGAAGCAGGAGCAGGAGCAGTCGCTGTACTGCAGTGGTGTTGCAGGAATACTGCAATATGCCTAAATAACGCCCTTATTTCCTGAACAATAAACTACAGCTAGCAAAATTCATGAGGATCAGATCCGGCCCACACCAGACACTTACAACCGGCCCACACAGCGCATGGGATGATGGCTCTACAGCGGTCCACTCCTGTTTGCCAGATCTGGGCCACAGTTAAGCCAAAACAAAACCACACATCAGCCAGAACTCAACCAAATAACCCAGAACTGACCCTATTCTGGGCCACAGTTTGCTTTTATTCTGGCCAACATCTTACACTTGCTGCTATGGCAACAAAAACTAAAGTACAAAACTCCCAGCATGCATTGCAGCATGACTACATGCTATAGCGCTCTGCTGCTGCAGTGTTCATCATCTGCTGGTGATGTTCATGTTGTTAATGGTCTGTGTTGTTGAGGATCATACGCTGGTTATTGATGTCTCTGTGAGCATAAGCTGAGCGGAGAACTGTTTGAGCTTATAACTCTTCATGATGGTGTGGCATGTACAGGATGATATAACGCCGCTGCTGCTGATGATGATGATGGAGTAAACACTGCTGCACATCAGTGAAGTGGGTTATTTCCTCACAGGTGGTGTCTCACTGCAGTTTATTGTGTTTTGTTTTGCTTGTCTTGTTTGCTGTAATCAATAAACTCTTCAAGCAAAGATCTTCAGTTACGAAAATAACCCAAATATACATTATATCAGGGATCCGGGCCCTGAGCCCAACTACAGCTAACTCTTTTCTGCATGGAGACTTTAGTCTATGTGGCCCACACATGTTTTAGGATAACTGGGCCACATCTTCTCTGGGCCAGTACAGGCTGACGGCTGCAATAGCCAGTTTAAATGACCAGCCCACATTTGTCCTCCATCATTTGGGCCACATCAGGCCCACACTCAGATTACATTCTGCCTTAAGTGCCAAATCTTTGCCTTAAATGGCCCAAATATGAATTTGAATCTTTGCTCCCCTTTCCATTGTACAGGTGGGCCACTTCAGGCTCACAGTCATGATGTCTGGGCTGAAGGAAGAGCACCGGTGCCGCACAACTGCCTACAGCGGCCCACACTCACATGCTGTCTGCACTTCCAGAAGAGAACTACAGCTGCAGTGATGCCTTCATAAGGGTTCTGTTCCCTTTGAGTGTGTGAAGTGCTGCTGTAACGACACATGCTGTGTGTGTGTGTGTGTGTGTGTGTGTGTGTGTGTGTTATTTCTGGGATCTACGCAGGTTTTTCTTCTTTATAGGTGTGTCTGTTTCCTGTTGCAGATCAGTTTCTGCTTCAGTCTGTGTGTGTGTGGAAACTCAAATTCTTCTCAGAACACACACACACACACACACACACACACACACACACACACACAAACCCAAACCAAAAAACTTTATTAAAGATGGAGTTTCATACAGATTTACAGAATATGAGGGGAGAAACCCGAAACCAATACAGAGAAATAATGGAGCTCAATCAGCTCAACCCTTCACCACACACACACACACACACACACTTATATCATCATCTACACGTGTATATAATGATCATCATCATCATCTACACAGCAGTGGTCCTCCTCAATTCAGAGCAGAGGTTCTGATTGGACACTCATCAGAGCGCTGGTCAGCATGTCGAGCTCAGCAGCTCAGTCATCATCAGGTGAAAGTCCCAGAGCAACAGGTGGAGACACGCCCGGAGCGCTCCAGCGGGACCATCCGGTTCAACAGGTTTACACTCACTGATACACATCTCAGAAGATTAACCACACACACACACACACACACACACACACACACACACACACACACACACACACACACACACACACACACACACACACACACACACAGATAATCATCATTACAGTATGAGTATAGTTTTCAGGCCTTTACACACAGGAGCAGCACACGGATCTGCTGCTGGACTGGGTCAGAGTCGGGACTCTCCTCAGTCCGGCAGAGTGTGTGTGTGTGCTGCTCATCTTCCGGTTCCTCTTCTACACAGTAGAGAACTTTAATCTGTTTCATGGAAACAACCGACATCTGCAGAGCAAATGAGTAGAGCGACGGCTGCCTGACTGACAGCGGGTGTGGAGGAGCTCAGGGGCGCAGCGGGGCCGATTTACCCTTCAGGACACGCCGCACCTGCACACACACACACACACCCACACACACACACACACACACACAGGAGTGTCAGCTGATGGTGTGCTGTGATTGGTCAATGCAGTGGTTGTGGTTCTGACCTGGTCTCCCAGCGGGCCCTCGTTCACCAGTTGTGCGGGCTGCTCGTTCTCCAGGTTGCGGGCGCTGGGGTCGGCTCCTCTCCGCAGCAGCAGCCGCACCGCCTCCAGCTGCGCATCCCGACCCTGCAGCGCGCTCGCCATGTGGAGCGCCGTGTTCCCGCTGAACGCCTGACGGACACAAGATCACCATCAGCACAGCACCACAGCAGCACATGAGGACAGCTCACTAACACGCCACTGACCCGAGTGTTGATGACGCTGCAGCAGTCCGGCTGATCCAGGAACAGGCGCAGCAGCTCCACATTCACCTGCTCAGCTGCCATATGCAGAGCCGTGCGGCCGCTCTTACAGTCCTGAGAACAGCAGAGAGAGAGAGAGCGCCATACAGGACACTGAACTGCAGAGAGTGTGTGTGAGTGTGTGTGAGTGTGTGTGTGTGCTCACCTGTGTGCCCAGCGCTGCCCCCATCTGCAGCAGTGTGGCGATACACTCCGCCAGCTTCTTCCTCTTCTGCAGCAGCGTCACATCCTGTGTCACATGACCACTCAGTTCCTGCAGCACTGCATTATGGGCCAGCACTGCAGTGTGCAGCGGAGTCAGTCCTGCAGCACACAGAGGGTTACACAGACTCACACACACACACACACACACACACACACTCTACTGTAGAAACTGACCCTCATAGTTGACCATCTCCAGGCTGAGGCTCCGGCCGCTCTGCTGCACACACCGCTGGATGGCCTGAGGAGACACACACACACACACACACACACGTTTGTTTTTGTGAAAAGTGGGGACATTAAAGTTAATTTGTTGTATCCTGTTCAAGTCGTGTACTGTTCTGCCCTCACCTCATATTTCACCTGCTTTCTGTAATATCTGAGTCATACACACGTCATTATACAGATTTGTGTCCTGATATGTCACAAAAACACGTACACACACGCACACACACACAGAATACCCACTTGCACCACACGCTTTTACTACACACCTCACTTACGCAAACACACCTTAATCACACAACACACCTACGCAGCCCCCCCAGAGCAGCAGATGAGCAGGGTGTGTTCCAGCGTGTCTGGATCTGCTCATAAAGCAGCCTGTGTGTGTGTGTGTGTTACTGTGTGTTACTGTGTGTGTGTGTGTGTTTTCGGGGATTTTCTGAGTGCGTTGCGTGACTGTGTTTGAGGAAATTCAGATGAGCTATGAGGAAGTCAGCGTCGGACTGTTAAAAACACACACACACACACACACACACACACACACACACACACGAGTGAATGATTGACAGCTGATGAATGATAACTACAGAAGGAAAAGCAGAGAGCCAACCGGAATGCGGAGATCTGCATACTCTGAACACCAGAGACAGAGACAGACACACACACACACACACACACACACAAACTGCATTAGTCAAGGTTCCATTCACCAACGTCCGCATGTTTATGCAAATGAGCTGGGTTACTCGTTAGCGCACAATGATCTTATGTGAGTGTATGTGTGTGAGTGTGTGTGTGTGTGTGTGTGTGTGTGAGTGTGTGTGAGTGTGTGTGTATAAAGCAGAGTGTATTTCAGATGCCCATACAGGCCTTCAGCTTCTGGACTATTGGACACAGCTGAGCAAACACAGACCTGATGATGTCATGAACTAGCCTCTCTCTCTCTCACACACACACACACACACACACACACACACACAATATGTAAAACACACAGTAAATGAGCTAATATTGGTCTCTGAATGTGTCTTTATAGGGGCACGGTGGCTCAGTGGTGTCGCACTGTGGTCTCTGGTTTGAGTCTCGGCTGGGTCAGTTGGTGTTTCTGTGTGGAGTTTGCATGTTCTCCCCGTGTTGGTGTGGGTTTCCTCCGGGTGCTCCGGTTTCCCCCACAGTCCAAACACATGCGCTATACGGGAACTGATCAACTACACTGGCCGTAGTGTATGAGTGTGTGTGTGTGTATGGGTGTTTCCCAGTACTGGATTGAGGTTAGAAGGGCATCCGCTGTGTAAAACATATCCTGGAATAGTTGGCGGTTCATTCCGCTGTGGCGACCTCTGATGAATAAAGGGACTAAGGCAATGAATGTATCTTTGTGTGTGTGTGTGTGTATGTGTGTGTGAGTGTGTGTGTGAGTGTGTGTGTGTGGTACCTGCAGTGTGGCGCTGTGGCCCTTCTCAGCACACACGTGCAGCGGCGAGCGGCCCCAGCGGTCGAATGTGTTCGGGTCGGCTCCGAGACTCAGCAGATCCTGAGCGATGAGGTGCTGATCGGCGGCCACACACACCTGCAGCGCACTCTGAGGAGACACCAGTGTGTGTGTGAGAGAGTGTGTGAGGGAGAACATGTCTGTCTGTGTGTGTGAGAGACAGTGTGTATGTGTGTGTGTGTGTGTGTGTGTGCAGCTCGCAGCGCTGGTATTATGGGATGTACCTGCTGGTTGTGCTCCTTCAGGTCCAGGACCCCCAGCTCCGCCATTCTGCTGGCGAGGACGAAGGCGAGCGCTCTGCGGCCCTGCGCCACGGCGATGTGGAGGAACCTGACCATAACCAATCAATAATCAATATCTCAGATTACACCTGCTCGTCTGTGTGTGTGTGTGTGTGTGTGTGTGTGTGTGTGTACTGACGTGTCTCCGTCCTCATCTCGGCTCATCAGCTCCGCAGGGCTCAACGCAGACAGTTTCTCATCCTCCTGCTGGATCTGCCATTGGAAGAAGGAAACTGGCGGCGCGGCGGGGAGTGTGTTCTGCACAGCGGGGAGTGTGTTCTGCACAGCGGGGAGTGTGTTCTGCACAGCGGGGAGTGTGTTCTGCATGTAAAGCGGTGGCGCGTCTGCACACACACTCTCCATCACTGAGCCCACGGAGAGAGGCGGAGCCAGAAAAACCCCGAGATCCTCCAGCAGATCACAGTCACTGGACACACACTCCATCTGTCCACACACACACACACACACACACACACACACACACACACACACACACACACCGTGTTATTGTTATCTGAGCGGTTTAATCATTACTCAGTGTGTGCAGACTGAAGCAGACTCAGTAATTCAGTAACTGTACCGGTGTGTATCCGTCAGTGGCTCGCGCGCGCTTCACAGCAGAGAAACACACACTCTCTGCTGTCCTCTTCCTGCTCTGCAGCACTGCAAACACACACACAGACACACACAGACAACACCTCAGTCATTTAGGACAAACTACTTCCTGGACTGCTAACAGGCGGTCGGCTCTGTTACCTGCGCACTCGTCATCGACGGCGAACTGCTGCTGCTGCACCTGAGAGCAGTGATCAGTCAGTGTGTGTCATAAACATGTCATAAACACATCTGTGTGTGCAGGTGTGTATCTGTGTGTGCAGGTGTGTACCTGTGTGTGTAGGTGTTTTCTGCGCATGATCAGTTCCTTCACCGTGTTCTTGACGCGCACACCCTGATAGCGGCTCCTGCGTGTGCCCTCCGCCTCCACTGCGCACAAACACACACACACACACACCTGATACTGAGCAGCCAATAATACACCACCACACCTGCTGTACCTGGTCAAACTACACATCACACACACACTACAGGCAGTCTAACATGTTTGGCTCTCACTATCGACCATTTCAGCATGGTGACGTCATCAGCGCATGCGCGTTTCCTGCTTGTTTTCTGTACTTCAGTCAGCAATAAGAGGAAACTCAGTCATAACTTGATGTTAAAGCAGCTCTCGTCATAACATTATTGATCAACATGTGGCTCTTTTTAGATTCTCGGAAGCTCTAGAAATTACAGATGTCAAATCAGAGCTACACTGGGACTGTTGTTGTGTTTTACATTCCTCAAAATGGTAAATAAACAGTTTTATCTGACGGTTTCTGGCGGGTTTCGGGACATTCCCCGTCCGCCGGCCACAACACAACAGTTTTACTGGACCAACACAAAGCCCTGTAACCCTGCAGCTATTCTCGGGGTTTTCCCGTGTGTCTGCTGTGTTATTCAGGAGCAGCAGCTTCAGTAGACAGTAATGAACGCTAATAATGTCAATATTGCCTTACCGCTGGCGTCGCTCCAGCTGTGCTCGGAGTCGGAGCTGGGCTCTCCCGGGGACAGCAGCGGCTCTGTGGGGGAACTGCAGCCGGGGAAGCCCCACAGCTGCACCGGACTTATCAGATCCGCGTCCCGGTCCAGCAGACCCGAAAACCCGTCAGAAACTCGGTCGATGATCATCTTCTGCTGCTGCTGCTGCTGCTGCTCTGAATGACGAACTGGAGCTCCGCTGGGGGTTTTAAACGTACGTGACGTCATGAGCTAGAGAGACGCCCCAGACACACGTCATTACGTCCAGGTGTTTACACGATACAGAATAATTCACGAGGCGACTTCTGCTCTCAGACCAGGGGCCTGTTTCAGAAAGGAGGTTAAGTAAGAGAAACTCTGGGTTTTCCGTTTCAAAATGGCAGGTTTGTTAAACTGGAGACAGCAGGGTAAGTCAACCTGTTTCTGAAGGAGAGGTCACTTTAACTCAGAGTCAGTTACTGTGGAAACTTATTCTGTGAACCTAACCTGGCCAGGAGCAGGTTTTATTCTCTAAACTTAGAGTTTCTGTCGGTCTCTTCTCTTTTTTAAAGATAAAGCGGTATTTCTCGCCTTAGTCTTGCGTTTCCACACACCTATATTGATGCTCATTTTGTATATGCGCATAAAACGATTTATGGAAACGTTATGATGCACATAACTTTGAAAAATACACATAAAAACATACACATAAATGAGTAGGATAAACATTTATTCGCTAGAAAAGATGCGCATAAACTTCGATGGAAACACTTTTACTGAACAAATTACAGTATGTGCATTAAAAAGGTTTGTTATTTGATAATGAAAATGTGTGTGAATGGCTGAGCACACTGTAACACATCTGAAATGTTGTTTTGCTCATTCATTCTAAAAATCCTGAACTGTTTCAGTATTAATGGTATTATATTGTTAATGACCTCCAGAGCGTCTGGAGCGTGTCAGGAGCGTCTGTCCTCCGCGTCTCATGGCTTCAAGCGCCCCCTCGTGTTCATTGTGTTCTGAGGCGCAAGTGTGTTTATTAAAAGTAAGATTGAGGCTGCCGCAGCTTCTAGTAAATTCTGCTTTACTGTTGATATTTGGTGCTCGTTTAATCAGGAAGTGACGGTTTTGTTCTTTGACTCGTTGGATGGAAACTCTGCTTTATTCGCACAAATCTTTAAGCGATATTCCAGTTTTGCGCATAAATTGAATTAATATTATTGGACGGAAACACAGCTATTGCCATTACAGTCACACAAAGAACAAAGTCACGTACGAGAATGGCTTGTCATTTTTTAATGAATAAAGCTTAAATTGACTGACCTTCAGCAGGGACAAGTAGCTTAGATTAATTAGCATTAGTTCTGCACATTCTAAATGTCATATCAGCCTCTATCACTGCATCAATAAGAAGGCAGACACACAAGTGCACTGTTAAATCTATTAAACTGATCAACATGTATAAAAGTGGGAACGTGTGTGATGATTTTATAAACGTCACACATTACATTACTTATCTTATTCAACTTAAATATTTAAATACTTGAAATGTAAAAATGTGCATTAACTCAAGCTGCTGTTTCCCCATGCTGTCTCTGTTTGACTGATGCAGTGGTGTTGCTTTTCAAAATATTCGCTCATATTTGCTATAACTATGCATGAGCACATCAAGTTCAGCTGGAGAAAGAAATGCTGATCTCTTTTCTTAAGATCTTGCCATGGTCACTCGTAATATCTGCGCTCCATTGATAATGCCTGGTTATAGTCACGGTGCGCGCGCTCTACTCAAAGTTGATTGACCCAACTCAGATCCGCTATGAACCTCCTTACTGAAACAGGGCCCTGAGCAGAACCTGCTGAGGGTTTATTAAAGGTCCACAGAGGAGCCAGATAACCCACAGGGCAGGAGAAAACAATCAACATTATACACACAAACACACGAACACACACACACACACACACACACACACACGCACACACACACACACTGCAGGAACACGGAGAGCGCCATCTAGCGGCATTCGGAGTATCAACATCAGCTCAGTGTTTATAACATATACTGTGTATTTCTGCACACTGAATAATCCACATGAGGGAACAATAATGTGTTAGACCAGTGGTTCTCAAATTGTTTTCATTAAGTTCCACCTCAGAAAAAAATAGTCTCTCCAAGTACCACCAAAATGAGCAGTATTGAAATACAGTAGTGTAGTAGGCCCAGTAAAGCAGCTACAACTCTGCACAGTTAAAAAAATGTGGCAAAATACCTCAGAAATATAGGCTGTATGTCATGTATGGCATACTATATACATCATTTTTGATAAATTTGGAAATATATGTAGCATGTACATGCCATATTGCATCCCTCCACGTACCACTAGAAGGAAGCCCGCGTACCACTAGTGGTATACGTACCACAGTTTGAGAACCACTGTGTTAGACCAATCTTCCTGATGGAAATAAACACACACACACACACACACACACACACACACACACACACACACACACACACACACACACACACACACACAGCGGTGAAGGAAATTAAAACTTTATTTACAAAAATGATTTGTAAAACATCTGACATACAAAACACTCAACTGAAGACTGCTGCAGCACATGCCGAGCGCGCTCACACACACACACACACACACACACACACACACACACACTGAAGCCTGCTAAACTCTCTGCGGGGTTGAACTGCAGCAGATGACCAACACATTGACATTACTCCACGGCGGCGTCTTCATCTACAGCTGCAGGCTGTGAAGGAGAGATGTGCACCAGTAAGTGCACTCAGACAGCATCAGCACTTCTTAGGGAGCCTCCGTCAGCAGCACTGAAGAGAACTGGCAGAAAACTGATGTTTAATCATACACGACTGCTGACGAGGGCAGAGACCTTCAACATCCCATAATGCCTCGGTGCGGTCAGGTCAGAGGTCAGAGGTCGTGTGCGGCGCGCTCCTCCTCGTCCTGCTGCTGGACGGAGCTCAGGTACTGCTCCAGCAGACTGCAGTTCTGCGCGTCTCCAGAGGCGGCGCTGCTGTTCACACACGGAGAACCGCACTCCGGCACCGAGAGATCAGCGTGTGTGTGTGTGTCAGTGCTACTGTCTGCAGGAGTGTGTGCTGCGCTGTCGGCAGGAGTGTGTGTCTTGTTGAGCGCAGGAGTGTGTGTTGTGTTAAGCCGCTGGTCCACAGACGCCTGCCACTGCAACAACACCTGCAGCTGGAGAAGCAGATGTTCAGCGTGTGTGTGTGTTTATGTGAGTGTGTGTGTGTGTGTGTGTGTTTATGTGTGTGTGTGTGTGTGTGTGTGAGTGTGTGTGTGTGTGTGTGTGTGTCTGTGTGTGTTTATGTGTGTGTGTGTGTGTGTGTGAGTGTGTGTGTGTGTGTGTGTGTCTGTGTGTGTTTATGTGTGTGTGAGTGTGTGTGTGTGTGTGTCTGTGTGTGTTTATGTGTGTGTTTTTCACTGACCTGTTTCCACAGAACCTTCACTGCTTCTTCTTGAACACGTCTCTGCAGTCGCTCTTCTTCTTGCTGCCGGCGGACCCTGAAACAAAGCAGTCACACACACACACACTCTTCAGTTCACGCTGTGCTTGATCTCAACTAGAGTCATCTTCAATTCTCGGAGCAGAGATGAGCCGACCTCTGACCTCTAGCGCTCTTCATTCCACTTTACCTCACAAGTACACACACACACACACACACACACACACACACACACACACACACACACACACACACACACACAAACAGTTCACCTGTCCAGCTGTGTGCTCAGGTGTATGATGTGGTCCTGCATCCTCCGCATGCGTATCTCTGCACGCACCGCTCTGGCCTGCGGGTGGCGCTGGCGAGTCCACTGGCCCCTCCACCAGCTCTGGATCCTCACGGCGGCGTCCTGCGGCTCACACTGCTGATGCTCTGAGGACACGCCCCCACACACTGGCTCCTCCCCTGGGGCACGGTGCTGAGTGGATGTGGGAGGAGCCAGAGAGTCCTCAAACTCCTCCTCTCCGCTGTCAGGAGCTGAAGCCGGAGGAGCGGCAGATTCAGACGCCAGCGGCCCCGGGGCCTCCAGATCCTGCAGGAGCAGCCCGTCTGCAGCCACAGCGGGGGGAGGAGCGGAGGGGGGAGGAGCGGCCAAGGGTGGAGACACAGAGTCCATCCACGCGTTCACCCGAACTGCAGGCTCCACATCTGCACCACACACACACACACACACACACACACACACACACACACACACACACACACACACACACACACACAAACATCAGCAGAACACACACACACACACACACACACACACAAACATCAGCAGAACACACACACACACACACACACACACACACACACACACAAACATCAGCAGAACACACACACACACACACACACGCACTCATCTGTACTGTGCTTTACCACTGGGAATAGGAAACACACCAGCACAGAAACCCGCATCTTACACACAGCAGCCTGAGCGATTACATCATCACCTTCATCCTCCTCATCTTCATCAGGTGTGCTCTGGTGGAGCTGCTGCACGTCCAGGTGTGTGGGGCGAGAGGGAGTCTGGTGATGTGTATGCTGCAGCTGATTCTGATGATGCCTGCACACACACACACACACACACACACACACACACACACACACACACAGTGAGCGGTGCTGCTATGAGCGGTGCCGGTGCTGCTGGTCTGGACTCTACCGTTGTTTGTTGAGGATCTTCTCCAGTTTGGCGTCCTCTGCTGGGGGCTGCCGGGCGGCGGCGGGACACGTGCGGGACAGATACTGCAGCAGCTGAGTGTGCTCGCCCGGACGAAACACTCGCCCTCTGCCCTGACTGTACAGCCACTCCGCCTTCAGCCTGCACACACACACACACACACACACACACACGCACACACACATGCGCGCACACACACGCACGCGCGCACACACACGCGCGCGCACACACACGCACGCACACACATACACACACGCAAGCACGCACACACGCGCGCACACACATGCACGCACACACACACACACACACAAACACACACACACACACGCGCACACGCACACACATGCACGCACACACACACACACACACGCGCACACGCACACACACACGCACACACATGCACACACATGCACGCACACGCACAGATCAGAAACTGCAGCACGTCATCACAGCATGAACACTGAATAATGAGCACTCTTCCTCCTCCTCCTCGAGCTCCACTCACCCTTCCTTCTGTGTGACGGCGACTCCATCTAGCAGCTCCAGGCCGAGGCACCAGCTGAGCACATATGGCCGATAATCACACACAGCGGAGGACACACACGACACACACGGGTTACTGAGGAGGGAGAGCTGCTGCAGACCCCGCACCGGAGCCAGATAGCAGACCTGCACACACACACACACACACACACACACACATCAGGACAGATCTGCATCCTCAGCTGTGCAGCGAGGTCAGGTCAGACATCTGCCTACACTCACATGCAGAACCGCACAGGAGGAGGCAGTGTGAGCCTGAATGTGTGTGTGTGTTTGTGTGTGTGTGTGTGTGTGTACCTCAGTCAGGTCCCGGATCTCGTTCTCCGCCAGCGACAGCACTCTCAGGTGTGCCGGCAGGTGAGCAGGAGCCGAGCGCAGTGTGGTGATGATGTTTCCGTGCAGGAGCAGCGTCTGCAGTGTGTGTGAGCAGGATATTACTGTACACTCATCATCATCCTCATCATCATCATCATTCAGAGCGGCGGCGGACTCACCTGCAGCGCCGAGAGCCTGGACACGTCTCCGATCTGCGAGATATTATTATCAGACAGGTCGAGGTGCTGCAGGGAGACGCAGTGGTGTAGCTGCTCCATCACCTGCACAAACAGCAGAGCAGGAGTGTGTGTGTGTGTGTGACCGTATGCTCAGGTGAACTCCGCTGCAGACACACACTCACCTTGATGTTGTTCCCGGCCAGGTTGAGGCGCTCCAGCTGCTGCAGCTCCTTCAGGCCCTCGATGCAGCCGATGCTGTTATTCTGCAGGTCCAGGACCCGCAGCTGCGTGAGTCTGCAGACGTTCATCATGCGCACCAGACGGTTACAGGCCACCGACAGCTGAACACACACACACACACGTACATCACTGCGAGCACAGCTGAACACACACACTGTTTTCAAAATCACATCACCCCCTGTACCCTTACTCACTACAGTAGTGCACTTAGAGGAGTGAGTGAAGTGAGTGTGTGGTGGAGCACTACTGAGTGCACTAAGAGTGTGTCGTGTTTGCTGAATCCTCACATTCTATCTTCATCTTCTCCATCAGACGCTGCTATAGTTCATCAAACACACACACACACACACACACACACACACACACACACACACCTGCTGCAGGTCGGGGTTGTGCTCCAGGTGCTCCAGCTTCATCAGCTGGTTCTGATCCAGGATCAGGGTGTGTGTGTGTGAATCCGGGCGGAACAGCTGAGGCTCCAGCCGCTGCAGACCCCGAGCCGACAGGTCTAAAACCCCCGGACCTGAAAGAGAACAGCGCAGAATAAACACGGCTGTGGAGTATTGATCACTACAGCGATCAGGAAGATCATCGATCACACATCAGTAACACACACACACACACACCAAGCCAATAAACGCTTTCCCGCAGGTGTGTGGAGAGCAGCGGATCAGTGATCAGTGAATGACGGAGTTTACACACACAAACACACAAACACACACACACGGCGGAACCCCACACGCCCCGTTAAACTCGGTAATCCGCACACATCGCCGGTCTGCAGAAAAACACTGCGGTTTAAAGTCTCCGCTTAGTCAAACTCGTGGATTATTGCAATATTATTGGCTGATATTGCCGTACCTCTGTGATTCGGCATCTGCAGCACCGGATCCGCCATCCCCGCTCCGGTCGCCGCCATACTTCCCGCTTGTGTCACCGCCAGGCAACCGAGCGCAGATTTCATTGGATGATTTAATCTGAAAATATTTATATTTTTGGATATTTTTACAGAATAGTAGGGTTCATTCCTATGTCAAATATATGTTTACTTCAAAAAAATATTTTACTTTAACGAAACGGGCTCCTTTATAAACCGCTTACCCACAATTCCTCTTCCTCTTCCCCGTCTGAACCGCCGCCATGAAGTGAGTGTATTCTGTGTTCATCCCCAAACATCTGCAATATAACCTCACAGATGCGCCGATTAAAGTGTTTATGAGTTATTAATGTTCGCGGCGTGTCTGTAATGACGCTCATTTGTGCTCTGCAGGGTCGAGCTGTGCAGTTTTAGCGGATACAAAATCTATCCCGGTCACGGCCGGCGATACGCCAGGATTGACGGAAAGGTAAAGCCGAGTTACTCCGACACCAGCAGCTCACTAATATCATCCTCATTATTATTATTAATATTGTCATTATTATTATGTGAATATTCGTATTCATCAGGGTAGTTCGATACTGTTGGCTAACTACAGTTAGCGATGGGTTAGTAATGGCGAGCCCCGCTGCTAATGCTAACACAGACACTGGGTTACTCTGGCTAATTTAGCGTCATTATGAGTTCAGCATGATGGGTTACTTTACTGTTCTAGAGTTATATTAGGGTTCGGGTTTGCTGAAGACTGTTGCCGATCAGCTGTGTGTGTACACACACACACACACACACACACACAAATGTATGTCTACATATCTGTGTGTGTGTAAGAGAATTAGTGGTACGCGTTGTTATTAATATAAGAGCATCTCCTCCTCTTCCTCCTCCTGCTGCTGATGGTGAAGTGCTGAATCCCGCATGCTCTGGCTGATGTGTTCAGGAACTCCTCCAGTGTTTTGGCTGAGCGCTGTAGATTGTGTGTTAGGGCTGATCGATTATGGGAAAAATCATAATCATGATTATTTTGGTCATAATTATAATCACGACTATTCAAAACGATTTTCAGTTCAAAATTATTCGCACTTCTGTTAATTTATTATATATAAATATTTACCAAATTATGTTTAACGGAGGAATTTTGACAGGATTTTCTATAATATTTCTCCTGGAAAGGCTTATTTGTTTTATTTTGGCTAGGATAAAATCAGGTTTGAATATTTTTAAACCTTTTTTAAAAGCTCAATATTATTATCCCCCTTAGGCAATATATATATATATATTTGATTGTCCTCCTGTTATACAATGAGTTGCCTGTTTACCCGAGTGAAGCCTTTGAATGTCACTTTAAGCTGAATACTAGTGTCCTGAAAAATGTCAAGTAAAATAATTATGTGTCTGTCAAAGAGAAAAGAAACGCTGTCACTTTAAGATCAGTGCGGCTCTGATATGGTTTCTCTCACATGTTTTGATTATTACACAAATGAGGGTTAATATGAATAATCACTAAACACTGCGCTCTGACACAAATGTGCATGTGTTTGACCATTAAAGCGCTCTCGTTAAGATGACGTTAGATGTGCGTGTGTGCTCTCCTGTCCGAGGCTACACAAACACACCCACACACACACACACACACTACCTGTCCGAGGCTAAGCGCTGTGCACACACACAACAGCACATGCTCTTTCGCGATTTTAATAGCTGAGCTGTACGTGTCTGCAGAGGGCCGTTTAGCATGGAGCGCTTCAGCACAGGTCACTGGGGTCCATGTGTGATTATTGATTATTGATTATGTTGCTGTGTTCTGATGGAGATGCTCTTCTACTGCAGGTTTTCCAGTTCCTCAATGCCAAATGTGAGTCTGCGTTTCTGTCCAAGAGGAACCCGAGGCAGATCAACTGGACCGTTCTGTACCGCCGCAAGCACAAGAAGGGCCAGTCTGTGAGTTCATTAACATTATTCACCGGGCACATGTGCACGGGGGGTGTATAGTCTCAGACAGAGTGCATTATGGGTAGTGTAGTCCAGGAGTGGAGAAGAGTGTGTTTCCTCCTGTGTACATTTACATTACATCATAGATTTATGGAGATATACTGCAGCTGAGGAGAACATGAAGCCAGCATAGCAGATATCAGCATGATCAACCGCTGCTGTTCTCGTCTCCACTGAATCATGCAGAGAGTGTTTTACTGCGAGTGAAGGGCGACGTGTACTCCTGTGAGGAGGCTGAGGGCTGCAGACGTCATGTGCTGGAGATATGGAGCAGACCCCACTGCTCTAATGAAGTACACTGACCTGTGTGTGTGTGTGTGTGTTGTGCTCTTCAGGAGGAGGTGTCGAAGAAGCGCACACGTCGTGCAGTAAAGTTCCAGCGGGCGATCACCGGCGCTTCTCTGGCCGAGATTCTGGCCAAGAGGAACCAGAAGCCTGAAGTGCGTAAAGCCCAGCGCGAGCAGGCCATCAGGTGAGACACACACACACACACACACACACACACACACTCTCTCTTCATTCAGTGGTCATGCTTGATGCTAGTTGTAGTGGTGCTCCTGTCACCATGGAAATCTCCAAACTAAGGCTGTGCAATTAATCGAAAATCTGATTTTGATTTTGGCTTGTAACGATTATGAAAAGCCGTGAATCGAGATAAACGATTATTCCATCACGTACCGCACCCTTTCCAGTTGTACAAGTGTGAAAACTCTTTGCCTCTGCAAAGCTCAGTTCCATGTGAAAATGACTGAAAGATGTGCTGTACTGTAACTTGTGCAGCACGGGATGCGCATCATTCACATTTTTAAAAGCGCAAAAGGGTACGTGCTATTGTGTGTGCGCTGTGCTTAACCTCAGATAGCTAGCGTGTGTGTGTTTGCGTACGTGCCGCGCTTAGCCTCGGACAGCAGAGCACACACATCTAATGCGATCTTAATGCGAGCGCTTTAATGGTGAAACACATGCACACTTGTGTCAGAGCGCGGTGTTTAGTGATTATTCATATTAACCCTCATCTGTGTAATAAACTAACAAGTTGAGAATCAAAAGACACGAGAAAGAGAAACCGTATCAGAGCCGCACTATTCTTAAAGTGACCGCGCAATATTCCTGCTGCTGCCGACTGTTTTTATTAATAATCAATAATAAAATAAAAAATACAGTGGAGATGCTTAAAGCGCGGTTTACACACAACAGATTTAAGAACTCATTTCTAATAACTGATTTGTTTTATCTTTGCTCTGATGACAGCACATTATAGGCTATTTTACTAGATGTTTTTTAAGATACTCGTATTCAGCTTAAAGTGACATTCAAAGGCTTAATTAGGGTAAATAGACCAGTCATTGTGTAACAGTATTTTCTTCTGCAGACCATTAAACAAATATATTGCTTAAAGGGGCTAATAATATCAAGCTATTAAAATAGGTTTCAAAATATTCAAACCTGCTTTTATTGTAGCTGAAACAAAACAAATAAGCCTTTCTCCAGAAGAAAAAATATTATAGAAAATACTGTTAAAAACCCCCTCTGTTAAACATAATTTGGTAAATATTTATATATAAAAATAAATTCACAGGAGGATGAATAATTTTGACTTCAACTGATAATCGTTTTGAATAGTCGTGATTATAATTATGACCAAAATAATCGGGATTATGATTTTTCCCATAAACGAGCAGCCCAACTCCAAACACGCGTTTACACGGGTTACTGATCTGCAGGACTGCAGAATCCTCAGTCATCATGTCCATTATCTGTGAAGAGCTGCGTGAGCTCGTTCTGCTTTTATGCCTCGTTTTACGGTACGGTTCGGGTTGGTACGGGTCACCTTTATCAGGCTTACATTTCCATTACCAAGGGTCTCCTTTTGGTGGGTGTGGTGAATGACAGGAAGTTTCAGTCGCATCATTCTCGCTCGAGGAAATGTCTGCAGTAAAGCTGTACGGGTCGCTCACATATCATATGAGCAGCATTTCTCACCACACAGACGCTTCACACACACACACACACACACACACACACACACACACACACACACACACACACACACACGTGTATAAATGTTCATTACAAACTTTTCTGTAGACAGGAGTTGGTTATATCTGCAGATCAATGACAGTGCAAAATAGCCTACTGTAACGTCTGTAATTATACAAAATAAATAAATTAATGAACATATGAACACATACAGACCCTTACAGTCTCCGATATGTTACCAACTACAGATAAACTACACACAGCAGACATTTCATCCTTATTTAGGTTCAAAACAACACAAAATACAGCCCACAGTCAGAGCAAACCTCTCGTGTGTGTACGTGTGTGTACGTGTGTGTGCGCGTGCGCGTGCGTGCGCGTGTGCGTGCGTGCGTGTGCGTGCGTGCGTGCGTGTGCGTGCGTGCGTGTGTGTGTGTGTGTGTGTGTGTGTGTGTGTGCAGCCTCTGTTAGAGTCACTCCATCATTGTGTTCATATTAGTCCAGAAGGTGAAGATGAAAAATAAAGCAAGGCAGTGTGTTCACGTTTGCTGGAGGAATAATGTGCTGCTTTTTCCCGTTTTCTTTGTTTTTTTGCGATTCGCTCTTGCGTTTGTCAGTGTCTGACAGGATCGGGTTTCAAAAGCACGTCAGTTATCAAGCGCACGTTATCCTCATCAGCTCAAGAAGTTCGTTATTTCAGATATAGACGCGCGGCGAGCACAAGCAAGAAAACGTGTGTATTTTAAACATGGCGGGCTTTTTGTTTTCATTCTGGCTTGTTGCGCAAGCGAATGAAGAGTCTCTGTAAACCAATAGCGTTCAGCTGCGTGTTTAGCGCCGCCTTTTGGTACCCTTTCTCGTGTTTAGTACTCTTTTGAAAGGGTGCAGAAGAAGTAGTACGGTACGGTAAGCCTTTTGACAGGAAAAAGTTTCTTTGAAACGGCCATAAACGCGTACCAAACCGAACCGTACCACTCAGTGAAAATGGGCCAATAGATAGATGTGTGTGTGTGTGTGTGTGTGTGTGTGTGTGTGTGTGTGTGCGCGCACTAATCACTTGCTACAGCTAACGCTGCTGTGCATCTGATCTTTAGGGCTGCAAAGGAGGCGAAGAAAGCCAAGCAGGCC